AATAGGGATGTACCTGGGCTGCAGTACCAAGTTTTACTTGCAGGGGGAGCTACATGGAATGTTAATAGGGATGTACCTGGGCTGCAGTACCAAGTTTTACTTGCAGGGGGAGCTACATGGAATGTTAATAGGGATGTACCTGGGCTGCAGTACCAAGTTTTACTTGCAGGGGGAGCTACATGGAATGTTAATAGGGATGTACCTGGGCTGCAGTACCAAGTTTTACTTGCAGGGGGAGCTACATGGAATGTTAATAGGGATGTACCTGGGCTGCAGTACCAAGTTTTACTTGCAGGGGGAGCTACATGGAATGTTAATAGGGATGTACCTGGGCTGCAGTACCAAGTTTTACTTGCAGGGGGAGCTACATGGAATGTTAATAGGGATGTACCTGGGCTGCAGTAGCAAGTTTAGTCTGCAGGGGGAGCTACATGCAATGCAATCATATAGGGAGGTGGTGATTCCTCACTAACACCATGGCACTGTTACATCATAGGACCCCTCTCCCGTCAATTTCAGGCTACCCTAGGCCCTGCGCTCCTTTTTTGTGTCTTCTCCCCCATTGGACCTAATAGGTGCTGCATCAAACAGCTCCCCTTTTCCCTTAATGCATTGATGTACCTTGGCTGCAGTACCAAGTTTAGTCTGCAGGGGGAGCTGCAGGCAATGCAATCGTATAGGGAGGGTGTGATTCCTCACTAACACCATGGCACTCTGACCTCATAGGACCCCTCTCCCGTCAATTTCAGGCTACCCCAGGCCCTGCCGTCCTCTTTTGTCCCCTCCCCCATTGGACCTAATAGGTGCTGCATCAAACAGCTCCCCTTTTCCCTTAATGCATTGATGTACCTTGGCTGCAGTACCAAGTTTAGTCTGCAGGGGGAGCTGCAGGCAATGCAATCGTATAGGGAGGATGTGATTCCTCACTAACACCATGGCACTGTTGCATCATAGGACCCCTCTCCCGTCAATTTCAGGCTACCCCAGGCCCTGCCGTCCTCTTTTGTCGTCCCCTCATACGGGGGGGGGGCATTGAAAGGAAAACATGCGTCAGCATCACAATACAAAGGTTATTAGTATTTTGACCCTCCGTGCGGCCTGTACGTGCAACACAGTGCTCCAGAAGAAACGCATCTTGGTGCTAAATACTGTTCCTAAGATCCCTCTAATAGAAGAGCTCAAACTCGCCTGTGTCCCCTTCCTTGCCCCCTCCTGTAATAAAGACCACCCGCTGCTGATCTCTCTCCTTGTGCAGGGTGACTGGTCTTGTCTCCGCCCCCTCCTGTAATGGGTACTGGTGCACCATAGTTTGAAGAGATTTCCACTTAGTTCCTATTGTTTCTCCAGGACAGGAAGTGCAGGAAAATCCCCCCAAATAGGAAACACAACCTGACCGAGTTATTAAATGTCATCTCCATCCTTCCCTTTACCCTGACCTCCGACCTTCCCTTTCCCCTTATCTCTGACCTCCGTCCTCCCCTTCAATTGTCCCGGCTCCTCCCCTCTCCCTCTGATGTCACCGCACACTGGGAGGAGCTCCTCACAATGTGCATTAGAAGCCGCAACTGGTCAGATTGAGCTCCGCCTCATTTCCTGGCTGGAGGGCATCCAGCATCATCTAGTCTTCCCTCCCCAGCCTGACTGGCCCCGCCCCTTTCATTCATTGGCTCTCAGTTGTGGAGGCTCAGCGTCACATGTGGGCGTTACCTAGGGGGGCGATCGGCATTGCAAATACATCCTGCCTAGGACCGCCCACTCCTCCCGACTGACACTTCACGTACACTTCACAAGGGGGGCGTGTCTCCGGAAGTCCTCTCATTACCCAGAATGCTCTGTCACCTTTAGACGGCGGTGTCACTACAGCGGCGG